CATAACTGAGAGGCTTCGACTTCCGGAGCCGACAGCTCCAGGTGAGTGGGGGACCTTTAGATAGAAGGGGTACCAGCGTTGATATGTTTACCAGTCATACCATTTGTTTGGTTATACGCATTTATCGTGAGAAATAAGGTTGAATCTATAAAGGCTGAGTTGTGACGGCAGTTGCTAAAAGAATTATCAGATTTGAATTCAGAAGGAAACTTAGCGGACGCAAATTTGCTCTGATTTGTCTCACTTTGGAAAAACCTGTCCTTGTGAAAGTTCATAAACAGTTACCGATTAGTAATGGGATTACCCTAGGAATGTCTAAATGACTTGTTTGCGCCAAGGGATCCTATCAAGAAGTTTTGGAGGCATTTGGATAATTTCATTTTCCCGATTTTTGAAGCACAAAATCGACGAATGTCAGAGTTCAACATGTATTACTATTTTTGTAGAATTAAAGAGTGGATGTGAACTCTACACTTGCTTTAATTTTTGGTGTAAAATGCCACCTTGTTTAATTCCTGGCTTTGAAGATCATTAGCACAAAATGTGCAAAGCTGTTTGTATGAAAACCGAAAACCGTCGCGGAATTTTTTCAGACCCTCGAATGGTAGCCGATCTCGGTAACACGATTGATTTTCTCCATCGAGTCCGTGCTTTGAAAATACGCGGATCGAAAGGTTATGTTGGTACTTCGAATATTGTTTGGAATTCACTGTCGTATAGTCTTCATTTCTGCAAAAACCTTTTGGCTTTATGGGTAAGGAAGTTTGTTCGAAGGTCATGCTTATAAGTGTGTATACTTTCTAGATTTCGGACTCTGACGTATCCAGAGTATGCGGCTTAGGATCTGTGAGACAAACGTTGCGCCGGCTCGTCATCCATTATTCTATGAATAATCTCAAGGTTAGTGAGCTAGATCCGATTTAGAATGAAAGTGGCGTTTAGCGCATTTAATGCATCGATAATTTCCATATGCTAGCTATAATTTGGTTCATATAGGAAAACCTTCTTGGCAAGGTATCTGCCAATTGTGATTTCTAACCGTTATCTGCTGGATGAAGTGCATTAGATCGCCATTCAAAAGTGCATATTTTCAAAGTCTTGCCTGGAAAGATACTTTGGCAATAAAAGCACTTACATACTCCGCGCTATGAATTGTAAACTTGTAGATTGTAAAAGCTTCCATCAGATGGGAATAGAAATGTTATATGCCACATACTACTAATATTTTCATTTTTTTTTCAAGTGATTGATGTTGCTCAATACAATTTTAATTTCTGTGAGAATTTTAGGATCTTCTCCTCGATGATGATCCCTTAATACCGATTATTGAAATGGAACCTTGGGCATGTCTTGAAGAAGCGGACTTCTCGTTCAACGAATTGAAAGAGATAGACGAAAGCGTAGTGAGCTGTCCTTTTCTTTACCTAACGCTATGTGCGTGTCACGTGAGCTTGTCATCTACTTCAAAGGTCTTTCCTTCATTATGAACATTCCTGGGTTGTACTTTCACGAAATAATCAAAACAATGCTCATAGTCAGCAAGGAGGGATATTGAAGAGGAGGGGATAGCAGAAAAAAGGAGGAGGGGGAGGGGAGAGAGTAATGAGAATGATATCTTCATTTTGCTCAGTTTTTTTCGCTTTTTTGTCCAAGAATTCGTAACCTGTTACA